TCCGCCGTGACTCAGGCAAGAGGGGCTTGTTTGGCAGGACCGGGGCCGTGGGCCTCCCCGCACTGGGCTCTATTTTTAGGAAGTTGGGAGAAGTAGGTGCAGCCTTCACAGCAAGTTTCTAGTGCCATTTGTGGTTTCGCAGCTACAGCAAAGCTCAGCATCAGCAGTTCCGAGGCCAGGTGCTCTCTGTGGTTCAGCACAGCAAGGCTGGCATTGTCGCACAGATGTGGCATGAAAGCCACACGCCCTTTGGGGCCCTCCATCCTTTGCGGGGTCACTGGGGCTTTTTTCTTTGCTGTTCCCTGTGCTCCCTCCACCTTAGTCTCCTGGGGAAAAGGCTGGCTCGGGGTGCAACCGTGGATTGCACAGAAGGGCAGGGAGGTGAGGGGGTAAGGAGGGAAGTGACCCTTGGAATGGGGTTGCTCAGTGGGACAGCAGCACCCCGGTGCCACCCCCTGTTGCTCTTTTTCTATTATTCTTTGCTGCTCTGGAGGGTGGCAGAGAAGATGTCTGGAGAGGCAGATGTCACCTCACATCTGCAGGGAAAATGCAGTGGAGATGTCACTGTCCATCTGATCTAATCTACCTGCTGGGACCACCTGTGTTCACATCTGCTGGAGCTTGAAACTTTTGCTCACACAAACTCACATGGGTTTATCCATGGCTGAGGACCATGGGGAGCAGTGCTTGGGCTGCAGCCTGCCATTGCCACCATGGCAACACCCAGCATACTCTGCTCTTCTCTTCCACAGGGGTGGTGTGACTTTCACAAGCATTAATACGTTTTTCTCTTCCTGAAACTGCTTCTTGCTGCTCTGGACTCCAAGAATTTTCTCTTATTCATACTGAAGTAGATAATGAACAGAAACTGCAATACAACCTTTCCTTCTCCGAATGCTGGTGATATTTTCTGTGGTTCTCTGGCTATTTCTGTCCCCTCTTCCTCTCTGATGGCAGGTTGTCCTGGAGACATGAGAGCTCAGAGGATACAGGAGAGTGAAAAATCTAAAGAAGTGAAAAAGCAAATGGCAGAAAAGTTCAAATTTCCCTTCTGCCCCTGGCCCTGGGCTGAAGGGACTTAATTTAGGTTTCTCTCATACAGTCCTTTCTGCATGCCTCCCACAGCATTGCAGGTAAACTCCTTTTCTGACTCAGATTAAAATCTTCTTTTTGAGTGTATTGTTCTTAGCACAACACCCAGCTTTTGTTAATTGTAAAGATCATCTGGGGCAAGCAACACATTTTAAAAAGATAGTCAAGAAACCACAGTGGGCACCCAAAAAAACCCCAAAAAATCACTCTCTTCTCAGCAGCTTTCACCTTGCTGCCTTCAGAGATGCTTCCAGCCTTTGACAGATCAAAGGGTCAGGCAACCGGATGTTTTTTCAGTAAACAAAACTCAGAACCCCAAGTACAAATGGAGAAAATTTGCTGATCAGTGGAAATACCACAACTAGGGCAATAGGAATGCAAGCAATGGATCACATTTTCCCATTGTATCACCCAGGGGTTATCTGGCTGTAGGAACTGTGCCAGTTTGGGTTCACAAGTGGGTGGACATGGTTACATTTAGAAGGTTTGGTGGGAGGTGAAAGAAAACCCAGTTTGTTTCTGGTGATGGTCACAAAGTGAAGATGTGACTTCATCTTCCCTGGGATTATTCCATGAAGGCAGACTCTTCCTTCTGGTGTTGGGTCATCTCTTCCTTGCTCATCATCTCTCTGGATCATGCTCCGCTTTCCCTAAGACTGTGTTTGCTGCTCTGCTAAGTTCCCCCATGTTCCTACAGCAGCCAAACAGTCAGGGATATGCATCCCCCCCATCCCTACTATGCATGTGAGGTGGAAGCAGAGCATGTCCCAAGGGGCCAACAACCCCCCATACTCTGCAGCAGGTCCTCGGATTGCCTGGCTCTGAACAGCAATGATGCCAGAACAGCTCACTGGGGGTCTGCCTGCCCCAGGGCTTGGTCAGCTCCTCCTGTCTGATCCAGCACTTGTGGCAGAGCAGCCGTGGTGGTCCAGGTTGAGCCAGAGAAGCCTCAGGACCAGGTGCTGCAGAGTGGATGGCTCCCAGGGGTTGCTTCCTGACTGCTGCAGCAGCAAAGGGCTGGATTGCTGATGTGGAACAATGGTTCCCTGAAGAGGAGCTGCACTGTCATATTTTCCATCTGGTTTCTCCTATCAGGGTGCTGCCAAGGAGCAACTCAGCTTCCTGATTTGCAGCACAAACTGGCCAACTGGTGACGTTCTGTGCCAGGTACCCAGAACTGGAGCCTTTCCCCATCCTCCTCACCAAGCCTCTCAGCCCATCCAAGGTTCCAGCCTCCCCACCAAGGTGAATGCAATGGAACCAGCTACATGCTTGGGCTTTTCAGCATTTCCTACAGGTTCTCATTTCAGTGAAGCAAATGCTACACAGAAATATCTTTGGAAAGGTTTTGACCACTGGAGAAAGCCAGGGCTCAGGAATAGCTGTGCAAAAACTCTCTGCAACATTCAGTGCTGTGGTTTCAGATGTTATTGGTTGCCTCTGTCCCAGCATATTTGGGAGCAGTATTAAATGATGACTTGTGATGTAATTCAGTTTCACATGTAGTGACTTTCCTCAGATGTGTTAATTTTAGAGGAAACTCTAAAGAGCCCTGGAAAATACTGGTGAGTGTGATGGGGCTAAGGCAAAGCATGAGTACTTTGGGGAACTGGTGCTGCTCCCCACTGTAGCCTTGTGGCCCTCAGCTGTCTGGGGTATTATTGGGAATTTTCAAGTGGCTTTCTCCCTGTGGCAAACTTGCTGTGGTATGGACAGTATGCAGGAGCTTGATGTCAGACCAGATGCATGAGAGGAGGCCAGGCTTAGCCTTTCCAAAGATTATGGAAATTTTAAGACCAAAAATAAACAAATAAAAAATAAAATAAAATAAAATAAAATAAAATAAAATAAAATAAAATAAAATAAAATTAAATTAAATTAAATTAAATTAAATTAAATAAATAAAATCAGACACTTGGTAGTGGCCCCAGGTTGTGTGTGGGCTTGGTCCTCTGCAAAGCAGAACTGCAAGCCTGAGGGACCAGGTCCAAAGCTGAGTGATGCTAAGGAGACCCTCTCTGGGAACACAACTAGCGTATCCCCAACACTGTTTGGGTCACCTTGCTGCCACTGGGAGGACACTCCTGAGGAGTCTGGAAAGCCCTCGTGAGCTGTGCAGCAACGTAGCCCTTGGATGGTCAGGGTGTTTGGGCAGCCCTCAGAGTATGAGCACTCAGGGGGAGGGGTTCCAGCAACTCTCTCCTCTAGAAGACAAAAGGGGGTTGACCTCAGAGCTGGCACCCTCTTCCCAAAGGATGAGCCCTATTCCTCACTGCAGATGTGTGACAGTCCTGGCAAACTGAAGGGTTACATGACTCTAAAGCACCAGCCAGGGCCTCAGCCCTGAGCCGTCCTCTGCCCTGTTACTCAATTGCTGCCCACAAAGACCCTGGAGCCATCCCACACTTGTGATTAGGATGTTATATTTAGGAGCACAGTGACCTGTTAAGGTCAAACCCTGATTCAGTTTCAGAGGTGTTTGTGCTTTGTTATCAGCATTTGCTTTTGCAGCTCATGGCACCTTAACCACGCAGGGCAGGATGCGGGAGAGAAGGCAGATAGCAAATGCAGATGCTGGACTCCATCCTGCAATGCTCTAAGCAGCCCCAAAAAGGCACAGTGTAACCTCCTCTCCTGGGGCTGCTGGCAAGTAGGTCCTGTTCAGCAACCCTCTACCTTGGCAGGATCCAACCCTGTCTTGGCTGTGTGCACATCTGATAAGAGCATCTCTAGCACACCACTTTCAAAACAGCTCTATATGATGGTTGATGAAGCCTTCAAACCAGCACCCCAGCCCTCCTCAACGCATTCTTGCAGTCCCTCTCCTTTCTGCCCCAACCAACCCCCACATTTATTCTCTTTACTTGGAGAAAATTAGGTCTGTCCCCTGCTGCAAGCAATGAGGACCCCCAAGTATTTACTGTATATTATTTTAGTAGTGTTACAGGTACTCATGAATGTTGGATTTCTGAAGAGCTTGGAGGCAGGACCTCACCTACCTGCAGCCAGCTGGAGAGGGTCAGGGTGTAGAGAGGACATGGGTTTCTCAAAGTTACATGGCAGTGATGCTGGAAGGTCAGAAGCTGGCAGGAATATCTGGCATTCCTAACAGCCCTTTTCATGCCTAGGTACATAGATAGAGGTAACAGGGATAAGTGGGGCGGGGTATGAGATGGCTTGTGCCCTGAGGCACAGGGTGAGCACCTCACTAGGGTATCAAGAAAGCTGCTTAAAACTTGTCTCTCCAAACTGATGGCCAAGCACCAAGCCCAAAGTCCCACTGTCTGCTGAGGAGCATGAAAGCTGTGCCCACACCAGGGTCACAGTGTCTGTACAGACGATCCTTTCTCCCAGATCATCCAGCCTACCCAGGCAGAGACATCACCCATGGGGAACACAAGGGAGAGCAGAAACCAGCACAACCCACTTACCTCAGCAAAGCATCTTCACTGCAGGAATCAACCTTCTCTGAGAGGAAATTAAAAGCAAAAAGCCATTCTTCCCCTTTTGAGAAACAAACAAATTTTTGAGTGCTTCCCAGCCCCTGGCAGCCTACAGTACTGCTCAGCATCTCTGTACTTTTATTCAGTCTTCATTTCTTTTAAGGAAACTTGCCACAAAACTTTCATCTACAGCAGTAAAAAAATCCCACCACGGAACATTTGAGAGTGATTGAAGGGCAAATATGAATATTCAAAATAAGGATCTCTCTCTGTTTCTGGTAGAACAGTAGGAAAAAGCATGGAAGTGCAACAGAGAAGCAAGTCTAAGCAACTTTTTTGTTGTTGTTTTTTGTTGTTGTGGGAGATGGTAGGGAACAAATCTATCCACTACGAACAGCTTTTTCCAGGAAGTGTGGGTTGCTGTACCCCGTATCCTCTGAGCAGCAGGCACTCGCACAACAGTTCTCATGCTACTTGCAAGCATCGCATTTGGAGGAGCCCCAGCAACGTGCACGGAGGATGAACGAACCCTATGGCCCTGAGGCACCCCGTCCCATCAGCAGCACATCTCCTGGCATCATGAAAATGTTCATGGGCTTCCTCACTCTATTTATTGTAGCACAGACCATTGGGACTGTGCTCTTCTGTTTGTATCTTCACATGAAGATGGATAAGGTAAGCGGAGAGAGAAGGATATCTCTGTCTCTGCTGGATTGCTGGCATGGTTTGACTTCATCTCTGGTGAGATCTGTCCACCAAGAGGATGATCACAGTGGAAGATGATGCTGATCACTGGATGGAGACAGCAGTATCATTTATCACACCCAGGTTCTCACTTCTGCTTTAATTTGCCACGGAGACATATGTGGGAGAAGAGAACTGTTCATCTTGCTAACAAAAGGAGAATGACCAATCGAGAAGAGACATTAAGAGTAAACCTGGTAGCTGATGGCTAGTCTGGGGACAAGAGGGTGTGATTTAGACATGCAACTGGCTATTTTAGTCTTGGTGGTGGTTTTTCTGATTTGTAGTACTTATTAGCACTGTGGCACTAACTGAGAGGATGAAAGGTCCTGAAATGAAATTTTTTTTAGTGTTTCAATGACTTTACCAACATCCCACTTCAGACGCTGTCTTTCAGTTTAGGGAAGAAAAGACTGGACCTTAGTACTTTCTCAGTTTTAGAAGGTGCACAGTACCAGTGATCCTGTCCCATACTTGGGACAATGTTTACCAAAAAGTTAAAGTCTGGAAAGCTGTTTTTGAGCTTGGTATGGATGCAGCTGCACTGCATGATACCTAAAATCACCAATCTAAAGCTACTTTTCTTCAAGCCAGAAGAAACTGCCATCTAAAGAAATATGTGCCTAAAACCCAGAATGTATTTTTCTTACCAGATACACTGATACAGTAGATGTTACTGATTTTTACATGTGTCATTTCAACTTAAATTGAAATTTAAGTGTGTTGTTTCTGATCTACAAGGGTGGAGACGAATGTTGAGCTAGGGGGGCTCTAATATCAGAGGGCTGGAAGGGGACTTCACTGCATGGAGATTGCAGGCTCTCATGAAGGAGTCTGTAGAGTGTCTCTGGCAGGGGGAAATGGACTGCAGAAGGATCAGAGGCAGCTGAAATGTAGTCACAGGTGACAAGAGGATTTCTGTTGCCTTCAAAGCTTGTGCAGGGGTTCAAATCTGACCCTCCACATCGTAGTGCTGCCTGTGCAGAGCTCTCTGCCCAGCTGTGTGTCCTCATGTCCAGCTGCACTTTCTCTTTACCATTTAACCGAATGTTAGGTTTTCGCAAGGAACAAAAAACACCAAAAAACCAAACAGGCATAAATTTAAAAAACAGTATTTGGATGCATTTAATTATTTTCTTATTGGCTTTCTGATTTTATTTTATTTTTATCTGAAGATTTGGCACAATTCAGCCCCAACACACATGTTTTGTTTTGCTGGCAACACTTTCAGTCAATAAGTGAGAAATCAAAATCTAAAGCCTCTCTTTAGGCCAGACAGGCCAATGAGGGGCTGAGTGAGCATTCCAGCTGCATGCTGGGGCCATTGGGGAAGGAGCTGCTAAGTCCAAGCCCCTGAGCTACCCACTGGGATCTGTGTGCCTTTAGGAGAAGTCAGAGATGGACATTTAAATGAATTATCAAGGTGATAGAAAATAGATCCTGAGCAATCCTCCTCTCACCTAACATTGTCAGTAAGGGTGAGCTCCACGGGTCCAATTCCCAGTGGATGAGGGCACAGATGCTGTGCTGGATGTCTGGTGGAGCTCTTGCTGCCCACAGTTTGTTTGCCGACCTCATCCCAGTGCTGAACATCTGACCTTGAGCTTCTCAGGCTAGATTTATTGCTGGCAGGAATGCACTATGGCTCTGCTGCCGGCTGTTGCAGGTTTCCTACGAACATCCCATTGACCCTCCCTTCTCTCCCTTGTCGGCAGATGGAAGAGGTGTTGAGCTTAAGTGAAGATTACATCTTCCTGAAGAAAGTACAGAAATGTCAGACAGCAGAAGGTCAGAAGTCAACATTATTGGACTGTGAAAAGATTATAAAGGGCTTCCAGAGCATCCAGTGCAAGGTACATGCTGTTGGGTGGATAAAGATCCCACTGAAGGGGGAGGGGGGCTCCCAGTCACACACAGAGCTTCATTCCAATCTTTTTTTTTTTTTAAACCATGGGTGCCCTTTACTTCAGGGCTGTGTAGCACATGTCCTTTTTGATACTGTATTCTCTTTACACTATATTGATATCATTCAAAAATCTCATTGATTTTTTTCCTAAAATGCTTTTGATAAGAGCATTTCCAGCTGCATCATGCCATGGTATGTATGGGGCTTGTGATGGGCAGGATGGACCTGCGGCCACCTTGGCTCTGCTCCCTGATTCTGGTTGGAAAAGAATTGATTTTCTGGTGTCTGGCACCTTGCTCCAATCCTGTGCTGGTTGGCTGTGGGAATGCTTGTGGCCACCTGCCACTGGGAACACTTTTCCACCCACTTTGCCCAGGTGTCAATGACAGTGCAAGGCTTGGGCCAGGAAACAGAGCTTCTGGCAACTGGTGATGAGGTGCATGAGGGTGCTGTGCAAATTGCCACCCCATGGACTCAGGGATGATATCTCTAGTTGGAGCAGTGGCTCATTGCCTTTGGATGCAGAAGAGCCAATTTGCATTGCAATGTCCTTCTGGAATGGCTGAGGGATGCCCAACCAGGGATGAGGTGCTCTCATCCTGCTCAGCCCTGAATTCAGTGCTTAGGAGTGGCTGTGCTGGTCAGAGTAAACAGGAAAGAAACATTTCTTCCTTGTTGTCAGTGTCTGATGACAACAAATGCCTCAGCTAAACCTGCCTCAGCTAAACCTTCAGGTTTGCAACAGTACCCAACAGACCACCAGAAATTATGTCTGAGGTAAGCTGTGCTCAGCAGTCCAGAAAACTCCAGCTGCAGGGCAGGGATGTACAGTGGCAGCACTTGCAGCATGGCTCTCCCACATGAAAAGGAGATTTTTTTTCTGATTTGTTTATCTCATTGTTTTTGATAACCTTTACCCATCTTTTTAATTGAATAAAACCTAAGTCCATAAACCCTACAAACTCTGCTGCAAACAGCCCATGGTCATGTGTGAAGCTGGGGAAGGAAGAGGGGCTCTCTGGTTTCAGGTATCCTCTGTCAAGAGCTGGCAGGGCTATTGGAGCCAAATATCACCAACTCCAACAGTGACCAGAGCATCTTTTATGATGAAACTTGTTGATTTTTTTGTTGAAACTGTTGATTTGGAAAAAACCCATATATTTTTGCTGTTGTAACAGGATGGACCCCTCAAGGAACAGCCCAAGTTTGAAATGCAGAGAGGTGAGTTTCCTGGTGTAACCAGTGCACTCATGGCTTGCTGGGGCAGGAGGAGTTCCTTGTTCTGGAAAGGGGTTTCCTTCAACAGCCCATGAGTTTCTCAGGGCTCGGTGTTGAGGCAGGGGATGGGCTGGGGTTTGGACCATCCCATGGGAGTAGGACTGAGCTCGGTGTGGGCTGGCAGAGGGGGACACTGAGCGTGTCTGTCTCCCTTGGGTAGGTGGTTCTGGGTGCCAGAGTACAGTTTGAAGTTGTTGAAATCAAACCCAAAATTAAATTTGTGGCCTTTTTACATCGCAGGTCCTGAGCACCGTGAGCATGCCCATTTGATGCACAAGAATGAGACATCTGTGGCAGGTGAGGTGTGGGCACATCCAGGTCCTGTTCCAACATCAGGCAAGGTGGCACCACCTCCTCGGCAGGCTTTTTCCATCAGAGGCTTCACCTCAGAGGCACCTGCATGTCTTTGCTGAGTGGAAGCCACGTTCTGCCTCATTCAGGGCTGGGGGTGGAATCTGGAGATGATGTCTTGGCCTGTAGAGAAACATTAAGGGTAGGAGATGCTGCAGTCCCTGCAAAGGAGCACTGGGGAAACAGTGGGTGCCAAGGCATCAATAACACTGACCTTTCTAAATTGCAGCAGAGAAGAGGAAGACAGTTGCAGTTCACCTGGCAGGTCAGCAGAGCAACAAGGCAGGCTCAGGTAAGACAGACTCACTCAATCCTACCTCAACCAGGGAGCCAGAGGGACACAGCAGTGTGCATTCCCAGTCCTGCCCCATGGCTCTCTAGGATAGGGATAGGGACAGAACAACTCCAGCACAGAAGTGTGTCCTCAAAACACAGCAAACCTCCCAGTGGTCACATCACCCCGTGCACCTGTGCCACATGGGGTTTGCACATCCTAACTGTCCTCAGTAGCCCTATGTGTGCCTTCCTAGAAATGCACCACAAGGGCTTAATCTTTCCAGGGTTTTTTATGAGTGGAAAACTTTTTATCTTTGTATTTAAGGAAAACAACCTCACTTTTTTTGTTCTTAAAATGGATCTTTTTGCTCTCCTGGCCATCTCTTGCTGGGGTGGCTGCTGCAGGAGGGCTCTGCTTGCATTTGGATCTGTTGATTTAGTCCTCACCCATAGTGGTCCTGGTAGCAATATGGGCTGACTGAGGGCTTTACAGTTGCAACGTAGGGCTCCAAACTGATTTAGTCAAGTTGCAATTATTCACATCCATGGCCACATTAGGTTAGAGAGATATACCTGAGTCCTTTTGCATTTGTGCATCCCACTGTATCAACTGTGGCTGCTCTCGCTGCTCTGTCCCCTGGCATAGCCTTCGCTGAGACACTTCCCACAATAACAAGGATTACCAGAGTATGAGCTTGCAAGGTTAGTCACTCCATCTGGCAAGGATTTCACAATCTGAGCATATCTGATTTAATCCTGGAGTAACTGACAGTATTTGACAACTGCTCTTTCCATCTCTGATGCAGCATTTCACCCAGAGCTCAGTCTACCTGTGGAAAGCTTAGTGTTAAATAAGATCAAAGAAATTAGAAACTCGCTGTATTTTAAAACTCCCTGCTTAAGCACTTATTGAGCCTAGAAAGCAGGGTCCAGAGAGCAGCAGTGTCCTGGAACTCAACTCTATATGGGGAAATGTCCCTGTGGGATGCTTGGTCAGGCCCCATGGGCTGTGTGGCTCCCCCAGGACTACCCATGGCACATTGTCTCTAGGCTGGGGCAGTCGAACCCATTATTCCCCCTTGGAGCCAGGCTTGCTCCCCTGGCTGCTATTCCAGATGTCTCTGTAGGCTAGGGAAGGCAGAGGTCCAAATTCCAGAGGTCATAGATATGCTCAGCTCCTACAGCCGTGGTTTCCAGGTCTCTGTATAGGCTTATCTGTACCAACTACATGAGTTACTCTGATGACAACAAAAGCGTCCCAAAATCCATGGCAGATCTATGTGGGCCATGGTCCTGGCAATGGGAAGCAGCACTCACTGTGCTAAGCCCTTGCAGCTCTGCACCCAGGCAGGGATAGTAACTGTGCAATGTTCATTTTTGTACTTCCTTGGTAAAGTCTCACCATCCCCAGAGGCCAAGAGGAGGAAGGACTCTGGAGGAAAGGCAGCCCCCAACTGGGAAAAACTGGAATGGGAAGCTCTGAAGAGCAGAGTTGCAGCATATTTTGGTAGTGCTCTGAGGGCTTGGAGGGTATCGCACTGAAGTCCATGAAGGCAGCAAATGGAAGTGACACAGTGTTTGGTCTGTTGGGGTAAACACAGGCAGTCCTCCTCCCTAAGCATTTATACTTGCCTGGATGATGGAAGCTAAATGTTCCTCTATTCACATACTGAGTCAAGGCTGACAAAGCCAGTGATCAGCAACATGGGTTGAACCTGCCCTAGAGGAAGGGTCCCTGCTCCTCTGGGCTGGGGATGGTGTCCTGGGCTGAGTACCCTACTAACTGCACCCTGCAGACAGACAGAGACTTTGAGGCCAGATGTCTGTGGGTGTCCCCCCAAATCAGCCTGCCAAACTGGAAGTCTCTTTCTCTGAGCTCACCTGCCATGCTCTCTCCCTACAGTGCTGGAGTGGAAGGAGACCATGTATGGCCCCACAAACAGCTTGATATCCAACAAGGAGGGGAAATTGAAGGTGGAGGAAGCAGGGCTCTACTACATCTACTCCCAAGTCAGCTTCTGCACCAGGGAAGCATCTTTGGCACCCTTCACCCTCTATATTTATTTGCATATCCCCAAGGAAGAGGACCGTCTCTTGGTGAAAGGACAAAAGACACAGAGCACCTTGAAGTCCCACTGTGAACTCCAGTCAATCCGTGTGGGAGGTGTCTTCAACCTCCGGGAAGGTGACATGGTCTTTGTCAATGTGACAGACTCCACGAAAGTGAAGTACAGCCATGGCAACACCTACTTAGGAATCTTCAAGGTGTAGTGAGGAAAGGGCTGTCCTGAGATGGGAATCCAGCCCAACTTTCTTGAGCAAAGTGCCTTTCCCTTTTTCCCTTATTTATGTTCCTCTGCCTCTCTGTTTTTCTTGTTTCTTAATTTGTATATTTTTTTTTATTTATTAATGAGGGCCAGGGGGCCCTGAGAACACAAATGGAACAAAGTTTGAAGCTGTAATTTTTTGCTCTCAGATTTTTTTCTTTTGCAGCTAGTGATTTGGTACATGCTGGTCTTGTGTGCCTGAGTCCACCACACACCACTTTCCTCAAAGGGTCGATGTCCCTGTTATGTCACAAGAGTTTTGTTTGCCAAACTCTACCATCATTTCTTTCCTTGAAACATAGGATGGCTCAGGGCACTTCAGCCAAGCTGCATTCATACATATCTCCACCACCAATCTGCTTACAAACATCAATGAAAAAACATAAAAAGGCTTAGGAGCATCTCCTCTAAAGGAATCCTTAAGCCAAGCACTGTTATTACATGGTAGCTGCCGGTGAGGTAGTGTTGCCACCCCAGCTGTTTCCTGTATGTGAAGAACCCCCTTTTTTCCATCCATGCCTGTCTGTGAAACTCATCCAACTTCCTCAGGGTGGCACTGCCTTGGCTGGGTTCATACTTGGTGACAATCGCTCCACACCAGGGGTGATTGGTGCCTGAGAGAGGACTGCAGCTTTTGAGGCAGAGAGAAGGTAGGGCAGTGGTGGTGGTCTGCTCTTGGTGATCTGAATCTGTTCACCAGACTGTCCTCCCACCTCTGCAGGCAGAGGAACCTTTGCCTGTGGACAGTTGAACTCCCCTGTGGAAGAAGCACTGGGCACCACCATCAAAACTGGAACTGCATCTTCTCCTGAGACGCCTCCTACCTAGGGAGGAGGACCAGGAAAGCATGAGAGTGGCAAGCCCACCTGCTTCTTCCCTCCAAGGCATATGTGCAGAGCATCTTTTGGTTGTCCAGTGAGGACATGTCCACAGTGGCACTTTTTCTGGAGCTCCAGGAGAGGACTGTACAGATGGGCAGGACCCCTCTTGAGCAGGGGATACCTGGGGGACACTGCACACTAGGGTCTTCCCAGCCCTATTCTCCAGCTTGGTCTGCAGGGAAGGTGATCAGGGCACAAGAATGTTGATGCAGCATTTAAAAAAAAAAAAACATTTGAAGATGGCACGTGACTACTGTAGTTTTTGGTTATACAGGTCACACTTAAAGGATCAAAGTTTGGAAATAATCCTGGATGTCAACATATTTGCAAATGGGAGAGCTTCCAGATTTGGGCAGTCTTTAGGCTTTGTTGTGTTGGAGGCTGCAGGTCTAGTCCTAACATGGTGCCCAAATGCCACCACTGGTGGAACAGAAGGTGCATTCTTTGCAGAGCTCACTGCAGATCTGGGTGCCCTGCACAGCCTCCTCCAAAGTCAATAGAACTCAGGGATGGTCTGGTTTCACTATAATTTGATAAGTATTTTTCGGCTATTCTCCAAAACTGCCCAACTTTCTTAGGGCATTGACCACTCTTGTCTGACATTGTGTATAAAGACTATTTGTTTGATTAAACCCATCTTATGTTTGTGACCAGAGAGACTGAGTGCCAGAGGACTGTGCACAGCTGTAGCTGCGTTTTGCGGCATAATTCCATGTTCATGGTTCCCCCTTCCAGTGTGGGATTTCTTCCATTAATCATTCCACAATTAATACAATTTATGAATTAAGACATAGGTGGCTCTGTATGTTTTGAACACCGCTCACGCTTCCCAGCCCCAGGCTGAGATTTCACAGGGTCCTGCTTGGGGTCTGGGGACCAAGAGGGCAGTGGGGTGACATTGGAGGTCACACTGGGGACAACCAGTACCAGAAGCCTCCAGAGACAGCCATTCCACCATGCTTCTTAGGGCATGTTGTGGTGCCAGGGCCAGGCAGCACTAGGGACATTTTGACAGGAGAAAGAAGCAGAGAGCCCCTGCCTCCGGAGGCCAGTGAGCCACCGAGGCTGAAGTCCCCAGCACAGCTATGAAACAGAGGGGTGTGGACTAGTTTTAACAGGATTTAGGACACCTGACTGAAAGAGGATGATTCCTGCCTGTCCAAAGGACATAGAGCCTGCAGGGATGTCTCTGCTTTGGAGCAGAGGGGTGGATGCTGCACATGCTGCATGTGGAGCTGGGCAGCTGCTGCCTCCCATGGCGCCCTGTGATGATGTGGTGACCACATCCCTGCCTCTGCTGAAATGCAGCCAGCCCTGTGGGCCGGACTCATGAAGGCAGAGCTGGGCTGCCTGAAGAACCACAAACCTCCACAGGGGAGGTGGAGGTGCTCAGTCATGGTGGGAGTGTGGGTGGAAGCTACAGGAGAAACCAAAGATGGTGCAAACTGGCATGGCCTGAGACAGGGGAGAAGCTTGGGGCAAGTGGATGGGGAGGAGAGAACTGTGAGGACTGTGTGTGTGGCTAAAAACCTCCAGGAGTGGAAAACTTGCTCGTCACAGGCAAGGAGAAATTGTGATCAGTGCACACTTTGAAGCCTCCTGAAGCTCCCAGCCTCAGTGGCCAGGAGCACCTGCCAGAGACCTTGGGCTGGGCTGTGATCCCCAGTCCAAATCTCTGAGCAGGAATCCAAGAGCTGCATTACATGTGGCTGAGGAAAACAATTAGAGAGGTGAAAAGAAAAACAGTCCATAAATTCTGCAGCAAGGGCAGCAGATGCCAACTGTCACCCCCCCTGCCTGTGGGCTGCCTGACCAACCCCAGCCCCTGCCACACTTTTGCCTTTCTCAGGGCTTTTGTTTCGTGCCTCTGTTTCTTGACTTGCCAAAAATAGCCTGTGGGATTCAGATGTGAGGTAGTGTGTGGGAGGGGACAAGATGCAACTGCTGCCATCCAGCTGTGTCCTTCTCCCCCATCCCTGCCTGTTGCCATAGCTGGCACCATTTCCTCTCCCCACGGAAAATTTAAAGGTCGTCAATACACTGATTTTTCCCTTGACATGACACCACTATGCCAGTCCTCAGGCTGTAAATTTTACTGTTTCCAAACTGATTTTTGTTCTTTTGGAGTTAAGAAGGGGTTGAAATGGTGATGAATTTGCAGGATACATCAGCAGGACTGGCACAGGGGGTGATGGATGAGCAGTGGCAGGAACAAGCAGCAGCATGGTCATCTGCTGGGAGGGGTGTTTTCATGGTTCAATACACACTGATCCCTTCCAAGGATAGGGGAGCCACAGCTTCTCTGGGCAACCTGTGCCAGGGCCTCACCACCTTTATGGGGAAGAATTTCTTTCTAATATGCCATCTAACAGTGCCCTCTGGCAGTTTCAGACTTCAGTGTTTTTCCATGATGGAGCCAAGGCTAGTGCTTTTTTTTCCCTTGTTCTTTTTCTTACATTGAGTGCTGTGTTTGGGGGATGAAAGCAGGGTCCAGCCCTTCTGCCCTCGATCCTTCTGCTGTGGGCTGAGACCGCAGACCGTGGTACATCTCTACCAAAGAGTTAAAAAAAACCCAGCCTGCAGGAGACGTCTTGTCCAATGGTGGTAGACCAAAGGAAATCCTGTTACCACACCTAATTGCCAGAAAAAAAACACACACTAACTAAAAAAAAATAAAATCTTAAACAGGCAGGAAGTCACTTATCTACAGCAACTGCCTGGTGCAGCAGAGCAGTCTGTTCTCCATAAAGCATCCTTGTGAACCAAGTGCACGTGGGGCTTAGGAGTGGAAATGCATCTCCTGCCCTGGCATCAAGTGCCCTTGGCCTGCTGCAGGTCTGGGTGATGATGGGAGCAACAGTCCAAGTGTCAGCATCACCTTTCACACCAGTATTCCTGCCAGTAAGTCATAGAGGGATGATGCTACCATGGCATTTTGAGGAAATCAGTGATGCCCAGAGCAAGCACTGGCTTTGCTTTCGTGGTGGAAACACAAGAAGCAGCTCCAAGGGCTAAGAAGCAATTTTTATCCTTCTTTATTTGTTGAAAATGTCAATTAAAAAAAGTGTTCAAAATAAAAACATGTTAGAAAAGTTGAACTTGCATAAGTAGTTTACAGTAAATAAACCTACATGATAAAGATACACTAGAACGTAGCTGACACAACATCCATCTAAAGACAGAATCACTGGAACCTATTTACACAGCACTGTAAACAAAGTAAATATGGAAACATTGCTGTCCATCTGGCATGGCTTCTTTTCCTTTTTATTTTATTTTCTTGTCTTTTTTTGGCTTCTAGCTCTTGACAAATACTTGATCTAAAAAGTCCCAGTGTGCCCTCCATCACATTACATCTCACAAACATGCGTATGTACATAGCATGGGTTTCAACTGAGCCTGGAGGCAGCGAGGACACATTTCCACCCTCTCCCTGGAGTGTCAGTGGCCCTTGGTTCATTCTGTATGTCAGCAGCCCAGCTTAGGGCAGGCAGCAGGGCCAGGCAGTACCGAGGGGTCTGCGCATGGCCTCCCTGAGCAGCAGAAAGTGCAGCAAAGGTCCTGCTCCTGGAAAACTATTCACAAGCACAGGAAGGCTGGGCTGCTGACCAAACCACCCAACTGTGTGCCCAGGGAGGGATGTGGGGAGCTGCCATCCGACTGGGATGCTCTGGGGATGGCAAATGTAGGCAGACCTCTGTTTTGCCCTAGAAATAGCTTAAAGAGTTTCTTATTACACTCCTTGAGATGTTTTGGGGTCTACATCTCCCAAAACACCATTTGCAATGTACTGGCTAAATTTTAATGGCAAGGAGGGAGTTGTAATTATTGCCTGTGTTATGTCCTTCACAACCAATATAATGGTGTGATTTTTATGAGCTGTGGTGCCTCTCACACCCTGCGACCATCCTGCCCTTTGAGATAAATAAGACATCATTAACTTTAACAGAAGGTTATTTTTATAATGGAAGGAATGAGGGAAGGAAGGGAAGGAAGGGAAGGAAGGGAAGGAAGGGAAGGAAAATATGAGTTCTAAACTAGGGTATAACACCAAATAAGATAAGGAAAGCTGATACATATGCATGTTGCCTGTGTGCTGTGTTTGAGAAGCTGTGCATGGATCTGTGTGGGTGCTGCACATCCTTACCCCAGGAGTGCTCCAGCTCTTGTCAAAGCATAAATACCTTCCCCATCCCAAGAGAAAGTTCCTTTTCCCTAGCAGAAAGCCCCTGTGAAGCAGTGTGGGGAGAAGTGGCCGCTGGCTACATTCCCAACCCTTGAGAAGGAGTGATGGAGAGCATAAAGTGGGCAGAAGGGAGCAGGGGACCAGCACATTTAGGGTTGTTTTTTTGTTGTCAAACAGTGTTTACATTTCATACAGAGAAAAGCATGTCCTGCAAGAGGAAGCACAGCAAAATTATAATCTCCTAGGATACCTGGACACACGATGTGAAAATAAAGCAGTAGGTAGGAATTCTACATCATGCAGAAGAAAAGGGATGGGGGGCAGAACAGCAATTACCTGTTGTGCTAATGACGAGCTGTAAGGAGGCAGCACTGTGCAAAATACCTTCCTATGCGCTCTGACAGGTGCTCCAGATCTGGCTTCCCCAAGGAGTCCAAATATCTTCATCTTAATTGCACATTTTAATCAGTATCAAGGCCACACAGGAACCACAGTATTGCTGGGCTCTAGTTCGCTACAGTCAACTAATGGGAAAAAAGAAGATGGATGGGAAAAGCTCCCCTAGTTGTGATTATCTGAAAAGAGGAGCATGGTGCTTTTTTGGTTTCTGCTCAATGCCACCTCAGTAATGTTTTCATTCAATAAATAGGTACTGGTTGGTGCTTTTGGAAAGAATGAAAGCATTAAAAAGTGCTTAAGCTTATTCTAGGAAACTGCTGCCCAAGCTTTTGTGAGCAACAATTGCTAGCAGAGTTTGTATTTGCTCCCAGTAGCAGGTACAATGAGGTATTAGTTGCTGCAGATGAATTGTGAATCATGGACCACTTGCTTACTGGTTCAGTTGTGATTGATTGTTTCTGCTTTATTTCCTTACTGAATGGAAGGAAAACTATTTTTTTCTCTATGATTTTTTTTGTTTGTTTTTTTTTTTGTTTGTTTTTTGGTTTTGGTAACAAAATACCCCAAACCAACAAAATAAGGAGCAAGAAGAGGCAAAGGATCCAGTTCCACTTTCCAAAAATACATCTGAGGTCACACTGCCAGCAGCTTCTCCATGAATTCAGGCGATCAGGGATGACTTGCGCCCTGTGTCCTCCCTGCCACACTCATCCGTCTGCTTCAGCAGCCTTCTCACCAGCTTCTCCAAGTCCTTCCTGGACTTAAGCTCTTCCTCCAAACACTGTTTCATCCTTTTGTTTTCCTGCAAGGTGAAAAACAAAGGAATAAAGATGCAGTTAATGCCCATGCACTTCATGCTGTGGGGTACTTCCATGCATCTGCTGCCTGATGCCTCAGAAGTGATGAAATAACAGAGACATTTGATAGAAGTTCATGAGGATGAAGAATATAAGTGGATCAGACCACAAGTAGCCCAAACAGACCCCTGCTACCTCACAGACCTGCACAGAAATTCCCTGACTTTGGGCAGGCAGAAACATCCTCCTGGAAACTGAATTTTAGCTTGAAGAACCCTTTTCTCCTCTGATGGTTTCTCCCACCTCCAGACTTGGGACTAGAGGG